GATGCGTTGTTCTGGCTGAGGTCTGGGTTTATTTATATTTCATGTCATGAAGGAGTATTTCTGGATTAAATTTTGACACAATAAGTTTATGAAAATGGGGGGGAAAAAATCAAATTTTGTACCCACGGATGTATCAAAATCTCTATTTTGGGAGGATTACAAAACTAAACTTTATAAAATAATTTAGAGACGAATGCTAGGATCGCGTAAATTAATTTTTAGGCACAAGCGATTTATTTTAATTCCTTTCCTCGTTTTTTTACTACTAATTCGATTCGTTGATTTTGTTAGTGGCGTTTTCACCATGAATCATTCTTGTTCTTTTTTTAATATATTCCATTAAATAACTAAATATGCAATGTTTGATGTGGGCGAAATTATACAAGGAATTTCAGAATGTATTTTAAATTTTTGTGAGGGAAAAGAAAATAAGAGGGACATGAAATAGCAGAAGGAAAAAAAGAATATTCGGGGAGAAATCCAATGGATTATATTTAAAAAAATAGGTCAAGTTTTTTCCTAATCGTTGCTTAGTTAAGAAACATGGGAAGAAAATTGATAGAAAATTAGTAGATATATGCCAAGAATAGGCTAATCCTTTTTGGATGCTTGGTTTAGAAGGGAAGAAATTTAATAAATAAATTTCAGAAAGTGTTAAAATGTTCTTTTGTTTTTCTAATATAAGAGTTCCAAATTTCATTATTTTTTGAATAAAATATTCACTTTCTTTTTTATTTTTATATTTTCCATAGTTATTATTTTGTTAGTTGTCTTAGGTAAGTTTGTCTAACTTGAATATTCTAAAATATTATTGATATGATTTTCTTTTGCTAGATAATAAGATTAAGCAATTAATTTGACTATTTTGGTTGTGCGTTTCATGAAAAATTGATGTCTGAATACGTTTTTCAAAGTGAAGTTGTTCTTCTTTCTGGAAAAGTTAATGTTTTGTTACTGATCTCCAGTGCAAGCACTTCCTCCTTTTGGAAGAATCAGTAGCATCTCTCTCTAGTGAGATGGGAAAAGAATCAGTAGCCTAAACAAAAGAACACAACTTTCTAAATTTATCTTCCTGATGTTCGAAGAATTAGTAGTATAAATAAGCAAATTACTACAAATTTTGCAGACGCTCAAAAAAGGAAAATACAATTTTTAGTTATCAAAATACTGAAGAATATATGTGACTTACCATTTCATATAAATTCGTAAGATAGTAAAACTAATTCAAGAAATCCATTTCAGCAATTTCATTATCTAAAATTTTGTGCCTGAACTGAAAAAAATTAATTCTTAACTAATCAACTTACACGTCCAGTTTAGAATTTTAATGAATGAAGAGGACAAAACAGACTTTTCATTCAAAATGCACAATTTTATTAGGTGGTTCTTTTCTAACCCCAACATCATGGCGCTCAGACCTTTCTAAGGATATCCTACATTTTATTGGGCCTCGCAAAATAGTTGTAAATTCACTTCTAAAAAAAGTTTGGCTAATATTCTCAAAATTTCCCCTACAATCCTGGAGAAGAATCTAGCCTCTTTGACCAAGATTTAGTTGAATTACACTCTTCTTCTAAACATGCAATTGCTTCCAAATTCCCAACTGCCCCAAGCTCTTGCTCTGGAAGAAATGCAAAATATGGAACAGTATGTTTGGAGAAACCAATGCTGAGAGAGAAATGAAGAATCAGGTGCTCCGTATGGAAGTGTTGTAATTTTTTCCAAGTTTTATTTATTTAATTTTTTGGTTGTGTAAAACTATGTTCTTTCCTTTAATGGGTAGAGATCTCTCACAAAGGAGCGCATACTTTCTATGATCGAGTTTAACTATGCTAACTTTTGGGAGACGTTTTTGTTATTTTTAGCTGCTTTTGTAATAAATGTAAGATACAAGGGATATATTTCTTCCAAAATGCTTGTTGAATTTTTTCAATACCTTGATTGCTCCATCAAATGCATAATTGTCATTACAAGGGAATAGTGTTTTGGACGAGTAGTTGATCGGTTCACTTCATTTCCAAACTATTCCGTCTATACAATCCTTCCTTTTTGTTACTTTAAATAAAATCTCAACTGTCACATTGATAAAAACTCCTTTGAAATTGAAAAAAGAGATGAAAACTGCAAAATTCTGTTAATGGGAGGGAACTATAGGAGAACAGAGGGAAAGTTTCATGAAAGCTGCACGAAATGTCTTTACAGGCTCAATAACAAGGCTACTAGACAGAAGCTGCATGATATCTACCATTTTACCTTTGTTTTGCTGGTCACTTTTTTATTTCTTGACATTGTTAGGAGTTGGAGGCAAGCCTTGGATCAGTAGTAAGGTTGCTCCTTTCTTACTGGAAAGTCATGGGTTCAAGTCATGGAAACAACCTCTCTACATAGGAGGGTAAGACTGCATACATTAGATGACCCTCCTCAACCTTGTAAAGTGGGACGCCTCGTGGCCTGGATACACCCTTTTACTAACACTCCTAAGTTCCCACACAATATCAGCAACTTGGATGGTCCTTATCATGGACTGTAGTTAGTCTTGCAAAACTTAATGCACTTCAAAATTTTTGGTTGATCACCTCTAATATTATTCAAGTCTTAGAAGATAAATAAGTGATCATTCTCTCTTAGAACACCCAGTTCTTCCACTTGAGATCCATCTGCTAAGAGAACTGTGCTTCCTCTTTTGCCAAACTTCTTTTCTGCATTTTTTATTTCAAAATGAAGGCAAATTAGAAAAATTGTAATTTTTTTCCTTTGTGTTATCTGTTCTTAAGTAAACACAGGTATTTATAATCATAGTTTTTGCCATCATTTCACTAGAGGATTCTGGCAATGATTTTCTTTGAGTTCTTACCTGATAAACTCAGGAGGTCTTCCATAGAGTCAGGAAGATAGATTAGTTTTCCTGTTTTGTTAGGGTTTACCATTTCATCCTCTGGATGATATCCGTGTATTATGATCCTCACAGGAAGTGGGTGTGATAGTGGAGTAGAACTTGTTGGTGTTCCTGCAAAATGGTACCAAGAATTTTATATGAAGTTGGTAACAACTTAAACCTTTTGTCCTAGGCTATTAACAGAATCTATATTCCTGAACTTGACAAATATTATGGTTTCGGTGTCAAAATGGGCATGGGCTTCAAATATATATTTAAGTAAGCTAACTTATCATTATGCTGTGTGGCAACATCTCCACTACAGGTTGCAATAGTAGTTGGCCAGATGGTGCTTGCATAAGTGCAATGTAGCCCCATACTACGAAAAAAAATTGTGGAAGAGCCAAATTCCATTCACACGCATAGACTGAGGTGCAGCTTGTAATATACTTACCTTTCTTGTCATTAGTTAAACTCGATGAATTTGCAGTTATTCCTAGAATATAATAGATTTTTCACAAGTTGGAGCAATCCTTGCAACGAAAGATCAGAGCTTATGATCCAATATTAATGGAGCTAAACATGTAATTTCCCACTTGTGACTCTTTCATAGTGAAACTACTTGATAGGTTAGCAATTATACAAAGCAACTAGTTCCCTTAGTTTGCTTTGACATACAGGTTCATAAGCAATTGTACAGCTTTAGAGGGCGGCTGAGCAATTGGGCAATGACCTTTCCAATATAAGCTGTGATCAGTTTAGTTTTGAATTTTCAGAAAAATAGCTAAAGAAAAAAAGAATTTGCACCAAAGAATTTCTGTTTACCTCATTTAGCACATGCAAGTGACCACGGTGAAACAATGTGACCAACTAGAGGGGAGAAAGTCTGACCAGAGCATACTGACCTTTTAAATTTGTATCTCTCATATAAATTGCTCTTTGATGATGTTGTGGAACCTCAGCTGATGCTATATGCTGTGACAGCAACATTATATTATTGTTACTTTAGGATAATAATTGAGGATGTCACTGCTCTGATCTTGTCTTAGATTGAAGAAATCAGGCCATGGCTCTCCTCAATAACATGAAGAAAAATTTTCCCATGGGTGTTTTTCTTCAATGAGTAACACATCTGGAGGTCTGAAAATATTTTGTGAAGAACTTCTTAAAATAGAAAATGTAACATCATATATTAGTCACTATTGAATGTTGCTTTGCATTTTGTTAAAAGTAATACTTTAAGATTTGATGCTTTAACCGGCTTAAATATGTTCAGTATTTATATCGATGATTACCTATGGAGATTTTGCATATCCTGACCTCACCTTCCCACCCCCAAAGCTTTTGGAGTTCTAGGGAAATTAAGAACCTGTTGATTTTCATTGAAGATTTTCCACATTTTGGTTGCTTAAGGAAGATGAAACCTTCCATTTGCCTTTTGTCGGATATTGAAGACTAGGGGCAATTCTATAATGCTGGTAAATGTATACCCTTTTTTTTGTAAACCGCTCCAGGACTGCACCCTTTTTTTTGTTTGGTTTATTTGTGATGCAATATGATTGTGTGCCACTACATGACTTTGGATGACCTATTTATTTAAATTAAACTGGATGTAACTTGTATAACCTATTCTTTTTGTAGTATTATATTCACTTTTTTTTTTAATTGTGATATATCCAATTTTGTATCAAAATCAGTTTGTGTGTCATAGTAATGATTGTATTCTAAGAGTTTTAAAAATGGCAAGTCTGCAGTTATATCTTTTTATATGTCTCTTTGAATTTGTATAATGATCTAAGCATGTGGCTTGATTAAAATGAACAAAAGCATTCACTTGATCTTGACGTGCCTCACCTGTGCTGCATTCAGTGAAGCTTCAGTAAAGAATCACATTTTTTGTTTTTCCAAAAGCCATGGGAAGCTCAACTTCTGATATATTATCTAATACATGTCTAATGTCTCTTGTCAAGTCTAGCTTCAGGATAAAGAATTACCTCTGTATTGAATCCTTCCAACAGATCTGATACAAAGGGTATTTCTTCAAGCATCTCTTTCTTTAAATCCTTCAAATACTGAGCAGGAAATGCATGAAAATTTAGCATAAAAAGTATATTTGCAAGTGAAGCTAATTTTTGAGGATCTTTTTCAGACTAATTAATGACCAGGCCTGTATAAAGTTGGAGACAATTATCTGTCCATCATCAGTATGTGGCTGCACCATTTGCTTGAATTGATGATGACTAATACGAATCACCTGAGAAAGTCTTTTAGTTCTCACTGTAAAAGGTTGTGGTATATTGAAAAGTACCCCTATTTCTCCTGCCATTTCTGCAGCTCCTGCTTTTGACAAGAACTAGAAACACAAAATTGAACTTGATTAATTTTTGCTGCTATTATTTTTCAACTTGCAATTTAGATGCTGAAAGTATGCTCTTCACTTTGGTTTATCTACTTCTTCACAGCTATACGTCTTCAACATCTAGATTTCATCTGCATGATCTTATAAAAAGCTTATAATTGAGAAGTTAGTTAAATATTTTGTGGTCTGTAACTTCTTAACCAGGCCTCTTTACTTCTATATTGAAAAAATATCTAATGATACGGATGGAAATTCTTTTTTCTTTGTTATTTTGGCAAGATTAACGCTATGCTTGTACTATTCACAATTGGGCAGGTTAATGTGAGCCTGGTAACTATGAGCAATCATACTTTGGCATATGGTACAGTCTCAGGGCCATTTCAGCCTGGTACTCAGTAAACTCACCTATTTATTAGAAGTTATCGCAAGCTAATAAAAAAATGATAGTCAAAATGATGCATTTCACCAGATATTTACTTCCATTAATCATAACTTTCTTCAAAATGGTCTTGTATGATAATCTTATTTTTTACTTAGTTTTGTTCCTATACTTCGCAACATATCAATTATTAGTTTTGGATTGGCATTGGTGGTCCTATGACTTCACATGTTATATATAATATGGTTGTGGAAGGTTACTTCTTTCCTGTGATGACAAACTATCAGACAATATATATGATATTTCTTTAGAACAAAGCCACAGTTACTTTTTGGCTTTTGCTTTCAATTTCCTTCCTGTCAAAAGTGATGTGTTACTGTCAGCAGCAATTGCACGTGTCAATGTTGCATTGGTATTTTCTGTGCCTGCTTTGTTGTTTCTCATTACAGACAATTGCCATTAATTTCAAGCTCTACTGTTTGTATCAACACATTTTGTCCCCCTACAATAAGTGCTTTTCTATAGAAAATTATCAATCTGTTCAGAAATAGGAACCCTGTTACTATTTCATTTACTTATTTCTTAGACTTGGTTAATTGGGCATCTTGTGATCATTTTATTCGGTCTGTTGGAATACTCATGCATTGGAATATGCAAAACTGGTCAAACATACATTGGGAACTTTTCATTGCAAAATTGGTAAAGCATACCTGTTCCACTCCATTGTTGTATGTCAGTAGATCCTGCATTTCAGATGGTCAGGTTTTGCATCTGGGCTGTGAATAGTTTAATTTGTTAAAGGAGAAGTACCATACCACTGCACCAGACACGACAATATAGAAATCTGTAGGTATCTCGTTTTGTAAGATAATATCAACCTTAGGTGGAAAATATTCTGCTTTTATTTCAGACACCTGTTGGGAAAAAATAGTTGACAACCTTAGATGACAAACTTGTAGAAGATTTTCACCATAAACCATATTCCTTAATGATTCTATCACATGCTTCAATCTACTTTTCACTTAATGTTACAACAAATATTATCAGACATGACCAGGGAGAGGGAAAATGTTGACCTACCAGCTGGATGATAAGGTCTTCAGAAACTCCTTTGAAAAGATAGGCTTTTTCCACAATATTACCAAAGAGATGCTGAGCTATACTTGACCTAATTGCCTTGGGTAGGTCTTCAAGCACTTCTTCTTGTTGCAGTTCTGCTGTCCTAAATTTAAGTTGTTTGTGTGCCAGCATTTGCTCTTTCAAACTTTCTGGTAGTCTGTTCTTGCTTGCATATTGCAAAATTTCATTGATGGCATCCCTCTATAAATTCATTAAAAGGATATAAATATAGTTCAGCTGATACATTTCGGTTAGAATCAAGAGAGTATATATATTCATATTTTGTGGGACACAAACAAAAAGATAAAGACAGTTACTTGATAATCTTTCTGGCATATATCAGTTGAGTTGGATATTTTGACTTTATTTTTGGAGCATTTAAGCCATACTCAAAGATGGTCACAACAAGTGGTACCAGTTATCAACTTATAATATGATGTCGGGGAGACAGGGTTAAACTATGTGTGTTACCAGAAAATGCTCATACCCCATCGTATGACATTGTGGTATGCAAAATCAGGAATATGGTATTCTTGCATTCCTGAACACTTCTAATGCAATCTCAAAATCTTTTTCTTTATATACATTAAAATTTAACATTGAGACCCAAAAAAAAAAAAAAAAATTAACATGATGATCTGAGACCTAGGAAAACAAAGTTTTGGCGGTGCAAGATGTTTACATTAGATCATAAGAAATAACACCATTCACTTTGTGTTTTGATAACGATTAACATGAACAAAAATAACATTTAATTTGTTAGCTACTAATTATCTTATCAAAAGAATGTTGCATTAGAAATATGTATGCTTTTAGTAATATGGTTAGAATAGTCTATCCACACCATAATGCATTTTTAAGCACCTAGGTAACACATCCTTCTTCCTATTCCATGCATCAAAAGAATCTGCATTCCAGTTGCAGGTGACATAGCAATTCAGAACAATTCAAAGCAACAGTCAATGGGGCGAGGAAGGCCAAAATTAATTTAGATTAAAATGATAAGAAAGAAACGAGTTATTATGGTTTAACTGAATTGTAAATTGTGATGATGGGCTAGAATGGAGACATATGCTCCATGCAACCAACTTCATGTACTTGGGAAAAGGCTTAAAGTTGAGCTGAGGTTTCAGGATGGAGAATGTAGGGAATTGAAGATGCCTGAAGGCTCCCTATATTAGAAAATTTAAGTGGTTCAGCTCTGTAAGTTTTTTAAATCAAACTATAAATATTAAGTCCTTGTAGTTACATCTTGAACAGAGGAATCAGTGGAGGTGTAGTTTAGTTGATTTAAAACGATTGATATTTTCTTGTCATTTATTAAACAGGTAGTTTCAGAATTGAACTCAATGATTTGAGATTGGAAATCTTCCTAATCAGTTGTTACTGCCCGAACTGTTCACATGTTCATGAGAAAATGTTCTAAAGGAATTACCATAGCAAAAGTTCGAACAGCGCTGTGGACAATGAGATTTGTCATGTTTCCAATCAGATATGCTGTTAGGCCAATGTTGAATAGCATGTATAATATATTGAAAACCTTCTCCCCCATATTGACTGCATGCAAATCTCCATAGCCAACAGTTGTCAGAGTCACAATTGCCCAGTACATGGAATAGGTGTATCCCAGCCAGATGCTTCTATGCTCAAAATCGGGAACCCTTTCTCCAATCCATGTGTCAGCTGGTATTTTGTGATGGGTGGCTAGCCAGTAGTAGAAACACCCTGCTGAGTGTACCGCAAATAGTGTCACCTGCATAAAGTTGAAGTCACAAGTTAACCACAGTTCTTCATTTCAGTAGAAGTTAACCGAAGATTTAAACCCTGAAAGAATAGGTTGTCTGATGAAGCTAGTACTAACACATATTAGTTTGCAATATCTTGTCCAGAAGTAGCTGAAACGCGTGTCCTTCTCCAACCTGGACAAAACATGTTCTCACCAGGTCAGCGATTAACTATGTAACTCTTTTTCTCGCCTCTGATTGGACTCAATTTTCTGTAGTTCACACTTGGATAGCTTATTGGTATTCAATATCCAGACTAGTATAGCTGCATCATTTCTGTATATAAAAATGCAGCAATGGTGTTTGTGTTCATGTCTTCTACACTAAATTTTAAAACACTGCATGTGTGCATGCTACTATGAACTGTGTACGTCTGTGTAACTCAGGTCAATATTGTACCTTGTAAAGAGCTCACTAACACGTCCGAGCCGCCATAGCCGGAGCAAGTTTAGGAAGCCAAAGACCTCACCTTTGTGCATTGTTCCGGTGACGAGCCTGTATATGGACTGAAATGGCAGAGTTGAGGCTATGTCCATGGGGAACCATAGGTGTGTCACGTACCTTAATTAGAAGTCAATTATATTAGTTCTCTGATCAAAAAATTAAGCAAAGTCTATTATTTAGGAAAAACATGTGGTAAAGGAAAAATTGAAAACCCAGTAATTTACTTGTTTTGAGTTTACTGTAGAAGTAGAATATGCTTTCAGGTAGAAAGAGTTGGCAAAGTTTGGAGAGCATACTGCAATGCAATTTTCTTGTGATCATCTACGAGGAGATAGGTTGATTTGTCTAGGTAAGCCACAAAGAAGGTGAGGAAAATGTCGACGGCGAAGAATGCGTCGACTGACAAATCAACGGGGAGGAGGGACCCAGTTGCCACCTTCTTGAAGGCTAGCTCGAAAGGCGAAGACCAGGCTGAGTACACTACCAAGACCACCAGAAATGTTTGCCACCACCTGCATTCCATCCACCACTTTCACAAAAAAAAAAAAAAAGAAAAAGAAAAAACTACACTACAGTTAATTGCCCTCCTTGCATTCTGAGAACGCTGGCGAGTACGTTGGCCATGCCCCTAAGTTTTGAAGTAATTATATATCTCCCTATATGCGTTGCCCGAAAATGCACCTGGCCCACCTGGATTTTAAAAATAATTACTGTTTTGCCAGCCCTTATTAAAATTTATATTTCTGCCAAATCCGACTCCACACTAGTAATCAGCTTAATGCGTCCACCGCGGCTGGCTTATAAGCCACTTTTTTTTTCTCCTTCTGATTTTTTACGCAAAACAAAATTAAGGGAACATTTTAAAATTCAATCTCACTTGATTTAGTTCCCTTTATTCCTTCGTTATTTCTAAATTATGTAATAGACCTATGAGCTGCTTCATACATCACTTTCACATGCTTTTGCAGGATTCCGTCCAGTAAGCAAGTGCAATGTTTAATTATTTATTTTTATAAATAAAAATGTTCAAAACAACAAATTATGTGTATAATGTAGAAAAAAATGCATATGTACATAAATAATTATCTAAGTAAATTTGCAATTATTGTGTATATATATGATACATAAATATGTCATGTCATATTTATAGTTATAAATTTACGTATGTGCATGTGTGTGTGTGTATTTTTTTTTTTTCAGATAGTGTATACTAAATATTATAATAAGTGCATATATATGTTTACTTCGGTATATGAATATGCTTCTAATAACAATATTCTCAAAACATAATTATTCAAATTTGCACATATAAATACACTTTGCTGGATGAAAAACCCAGCCATCATCAACATTTTACCCATTTCTATTGATGGGCATTTAAAAGATTTCGAGTTTCATTAATTAAAAGCATGGATCTTTTTTAAAATTTTAAGAAAAGTCCAACTTAACAGTTCAACTTGATCATCAAAACAGATGAGGGGGCACATCAAAGTGCAGATAATCCTGTTCCTGTTAATTATTTAATTAACTTATCAAATTTACTCACCAAAAAAAGTTTGAGATATTGTTGATTTACTCACCGTAAAAAGGTAAAATCCAGTAGAAACCAAACAACGCCCCAAGGAAAGGGTAAACGAGTGGGATGGAAAAACAACTACTTTTCACATGCTAGGCCAACAGTAATTACCGCACTCCATGTATGACCGTTGGCAAGTATTTTTTATGCAATTTGCCAGGTGCATTATTATTATTATTATTTTTCTTTTGGTGATTGCATGGCACACAAACACTCTTGAGAAACCAGTAGTAATCCAAATTACTAAAACAAGACAAACCGTGCAAAGTGTATATGCAAGTGTATGCACCCATGAGAGAGACTTCACAAGAACATATTCATCATTAAAATCTACCAACATTGTATGTGGTTATAATCATGTTTTCACTATATATACATGCATATGTTTTATTACAATAATAATGTAGAACCGCCGATGATAGAGAAGCAATAACTTTGGAGAAAAAAAGTGTGTATATGTGTGTGTGTGTGTGTAATACACACACAAAACCTAATATACTTCTAATTAGTATAACAACTATGAGATTATTTTGAATATCAGAAGACTTCTCTTCCACTCTAACCGTATATGTAAAAAAAAATATGTGTATATAGAAATATAACCTGTATCGACGATCATAAGGGGCGATGATATATCTCCTAAGAGGAAGAGACACATCACCGACAACGGTGCCAAAAGCCGGCAAAAGGCTGCTGGAAACGGTGGCCAAGTTATTTATATCATGGCTCGACCTCCTCGTGTAGAGCTGTGTGCCCACCTCCACCTCTGTCAGCCTTTCTTCTCTACTCGACATCCTTCCCTTACTACCTTAATCAGCAATTTACCATTCAAATTACAGAGAAATCAATTGTTTCTGTTGCAGAAGCTACTTGATTTGCATTTTCTTTTTTATTTAACGTGTCTCAAGTCTTTTTGAATTGGAAATTGTTTAGAAAGAAACGCTATTGACTTTTCAGGAATCCAAAGATCCTAATACTGCTCTCATTATTTGAAATTTGTGATGTAGATCGAGTAATATTAATTAAGAGACGGCAGCTGAGGACCAAACTCTTGATAAAATAAGAGGGAGAAGGTGGTGTGTCGATCTCAAATGACTTAACTTATTTGGAGAACTCCAGATGATCAGATCGTTGGGACCCCTGAATCTTTGGATGGTGTTGATGTTTTAGTATACATTGTTGTATAAGCAGTATAAAGTGACGAAACAATAATTTCTTCATTAGGTTATTATAATACTATGCGAAGAATACTGAGCACCGTGCCATTGACCATGGATGGATCTACCTCTATTTTCCGGGTTGCTGTTGAGAATATTTAATTTTTCCTCTGTACAGACTCATATATATATATATATATATATAATGGTGATGCATGCATGCAAACATGCATGAATCATGCACAGTGAGAGACAATTAAATTGGGCCATTCATTCTTATCCATATTGGCTAATTAATATATTATCTCAATTATCAAAATGGGAATATTTTGCACATAAATTATTAGGTTAAAATCATAAACTATATCATATTTGAAGAGGTGTCCTCAATGGTTGTTGTTCTCCGTTGACATGTCATCAAAACGATATGATAAACAAAAAGCTATTGTATATGACTTGTATTTTCAGAGCAAACGATCAAATGGTCATCGATATGGATATCCACACCCATGCACGGGAAAGCATAAACCTGTCTTTTTTTCATTTTTATTTTTGAGTGGCTGAAGGTGGGAGAGAGAGAGAGAGAGAGAGAGAGAGAGGGAAGGAGGGAGGCCGGGGGGGGGGGGGGGAGAGAGAGAGAGAGAGTAACAAACTAATCAATTCGATAGGGTATAAAGTAAGTGAATACAAGTTTGTAACTTTTAAGAAGGCTTGTTTTAATCTTTGCCTAAAATAATGGAGACTTTTTATTAATTTATGAAAAAATAATTTTAAAATCTGAAAAAAGTGAACTTTTGCCAAACATGCCTTTGCTACTTCCCATAAGTTCTCCCATTTCGCAAAAGAATTGCTTGGAAGAGTTATTTTAATGGCACTACTAGAAGCTTGCCAATCTCATGCCCGGGCTTGAGTTCCCTCCTTTATTTATTATTATTATTTTATTTTTTTTGGGGGGGGGGGGGGCGTAATATTTCCAATATTTTAGTTTTGTACATATTTATTGTAAGGTGGTGTCCAATAGATGTATTTTGTTGACCTCAAAAATGATGCTAAGTAGTGAATTAACTATTTTTGTATTGGACGACTTACTATGTATATGTAAGTCTGGAATTAAGACTTGAGAAAGTAGGAAAATATGAAAATTGAGCGAGCATATAAGGTTTGTTCGAAACTGTCATGTCTAAAAAATTGTTTGCAAAAACTGTCGAACATTTTTTTTAAATAAAATGTGGCCATTTCAAGCTATGACTTTTTATTATTTTCATAATTCTAAAATGCTTTTCTAATTAAAAAATGACGAAGCTTTCATTTTTTTCCTTTTTTTTTTTTTTTGTTTTACATTCTTGCAGATACATGAAAGCAAAAAATTGAAAACGGATACCGAATGGGAACTTCCTTGTCATTCCAGGGTCCACCGCACATGAGATGACAATCTTTAGTGTTTTTATTTAAAATGGGTAAATCTAAATCAATTCACTGAATTACTGTAAATTCCAATTGGCTGTGCAGAAAAGACAGATGTTTCAATAAAATAAAAAGCGGCAATATGCCAAACCACCAAATTTTCAACCCAAAAAAAAAAGGAAAAAAACTTCAACAAAAATGAAGAAATGCGTTACACGGGTTGTGTACCCCGTGCAGCGCCTGCAATCAGACCGTTCTTGCTGGTAGACTCCTAAAATACACTAGCTGGCATTTTTCTATTTGCGATATAATCCCATCAACACATTCAAGGCTCAAATAGCAAACATATACAGGGCTAGAAGTATCACTAGCAACAAGGAAATTAAACATTTTATGGATGCTACATCCAACAAATCATTTGAGACGGATTCACATCATGTCAGCATAGAGTCTTGGACAAGGAGGTCTAAAAAGACAAGAGTTGTGGCCACAGTTGCAAGGAAGTTGCCAAAATCTCAAACCATCGAGAACAAGTGTTAAAATTTTCATGGCACGGAGAAAATGAGGTTTCTCATAGTATACAGATCAAGCCCGGTCTATTAAACACTATCAATATAATATATTTAATACAAAATTGAATGGAGAAAATCATTTTACTACCCTAACCATGCAGCTAAACTCCTGACACAAAATTGTTACCTACTGCTCTCTCCATACAAAAATGCACTCATGTATGTGTCCTTCACAAGTTTCTATGGGAAATCTCATTAATAATAGGGAAAAAAATGAATTATTTCCTTTCTATAGCACAAGGCAAGATGCCGAAGTAGCTCGTGCAGTATTTCTTTTTCTCTTCTTGCATCCTACTGAGTCATCTTCATATCTTTTTGGAGACTTGGATGGATGCTTCAAAGGAAGATCTCAAATCTCTCGTCTCCTCAGGTGGTCTATAACGTTCTCTTTTGGGCTACCACTATGACAACCATGTTCAGCCACAGAAACCTCAAGAGATTGAAAGCAACTTAAGCAATGTGATTACCAGCACTGTCAGTTTCAACAACAGAAATGCTTGACTCCATGCATATTCCATTCTTTTTAAAATAATGCAGCTGAGTTGCCTGGCTCATAAAAACTGCCATAGTGCAACGGTGTCCCAAAATTCACTGCTCCATCAAATCAGCTCTAACTTGATCCAATAAATTTACATGTATTGAGCCAACCACTGCTTGCACATGTCAAGCACAGGGAGCGCATTTGCATGTAATGCCTGCAAAAGACATTGCAATATATGCAATTTAGGTTGTTAGCCAATTTAATAAATAAAATAAATGATAATTATATATATATATATATATATTTTTTTTTTTCTGCAGTTGAAAAATCTATGGATTACACTGCGGAAGCCAGGGGAAAACTACAATTAGAAGTGAAAAGTCTAGAGAGTCTTTATTTTACTTGATTATAGACAAAAGTGAAGTTTAAACATCTGACAAATATTTCTGGACAAGCAATTTTAGAAAGCTATCCTGCTTAGCTGAAGCCTAAGTTATCTCAAGCAAATCATTTTTGGCATGTGCAACAGGCATGCAGATGTGACACCACTCCTCCAAAGTGGGGTATTACATCAGTAGGTTTATGTACATTACTTGATTAGAATTTAAGAGGGTCTTCAACATAAAAAACACAGAACCATTTTCAATCAGAAAACAAAAGCTATTGCCATTGTTAGTCCCATTCCACCCATGGCATCATAGTCTGACCATGCCAACACCACACATTCCATAAGAACAAGTCAAAAAGATTGAGAAACAGCACCATCCAGTCTGATTTGTTCTCCTGGAGACTATTCTTACTGATGGAAGCTCCTACAATACTTTGTAACGTACGATAGATGAGAACCTTGACCATACGTGAGAATCACCTACTATATGTTTTGCATTCAATCGTTCATTGAACATTGCTATAACCATTAGCAGCAAAACATGGCAGTCCCCAGTATAATAGTTACCTTCTTTGCAAATAACATTATACCAGTGTGACGACTACTATTATTACCACTAATGACTATTATCATGCTACTACCACCCTAATCGCCATCACTGCTACTACTGCCACATACAATTACCATTATGTCATTGCAGCTACAGCTATCATTCAATCATCAAAGCTGTCTTTACCATTATCAGCCTACAACTACTACTCCCACACAACCAGCCACTAGACACAACCACAACTAATACCTCAACCATCCAACCATCACATCCCCATCCCACCCTGTGCCTTTCACCAATCCATAAGCTACAAAAACCAAGATTTTAAGCTCTCTTAGTTGAAAAAAGTTGCCTTTTTTTCCTCAAGATGCCAAATTCCCTACAGTACCTACCCTTTTTTTTTCAGACAGAGAAAAGAAAGAACTATAATCTCCCCCTTTTTTAGGTGGTCATTCACTTTTCAGTTTCTACAACCAAATAAGACAAGTCTATCAAACTTTCCATCTTTAGCCATGTATATTTCCTGAAAATATGCATAAAAAAACTAATACTACTCAACATTATCAATATAAACACCGAGCTAGATTGCCTGTCAGAAACAATCATTGCATAATAGATTTCCAAGAGAAAAAACCTGATGTGCAACATATTGAACATCTGCAACACTTCCACTTCGAGAAGCAATTTGAAATGCACTTTTAAGACGACCGCAAACTACACAAGCCAGAACCTTCCTGAAAAAGTGAAAAAAGGAAAGTAAGTTCAACTTTGAGCTAAAAAAGGCATTTATATGTTGAAATTAAGGGAATAAATAAGAACAACTAATAACCTTGACAAGATGTCACATATTAGAATGAACAATAAATAACATGGCCACATATTATTAAAAACTTGGCAATTAAACCATCATGTTAAATTGTTGATAAAAATCTCATCTAAAAGCTTAAACATGAAAAGAGAGGGATAACTTCACCATTTATTACTTAATGCGCCCCCTCAGATGTGTCCAGACTTCTTATTCATAATTAGACCAACACACAGATGCTTTAAATTGGTAGGGAGTGGAACTTGAACATATGACTTTTAAACTACTTTAGTACCATGTTAAACTATTAACCATCATCTCATCTAAAAGTTTAAGCCTGTCAAGAGAGAAGAAACTTAAATATTTATTAACACATAAAATATAAGTACAAATCATCATATGTTATTGCCAATTTTATTTCAAGTATGGAAGTTTCAAGTCATGCAAAC